GAGACATTTTTATATAGTGGTAATTACTATCGTATATTTCGCGAATCAAAATGCATATCCAAACTTACATAAATATAGTAATTGTATATTGTCACATGGTATATCCAATCGCATTATAGCAATCATACTAAAATGATTTAAGCATTAATTCTACGTGTTATTTATTGCTTTTTGCTTATCCATTATAATCATAAAACAGGAATAAGTTATGAGAGTCTGTCGATTTCGGTAAAATACGCCTGTTATGTCTCATATTATATGTAAGTTTAATTCCATATAATTTATAAGCATTAATTATTTAGAATACCGAATATACCAATTAGTATATCAAAAACAATAGTGATTATAAGTATCAAATTTCTCAATATACTATATTGAAATACGTTTACAGAAAATACGTTCAAATCAAATCGTATCATATGATCATAGCATAACTCGCCAAAATTGTTTGTTGATATAATGATATCATTCAATTAATTTTTCAAATAATTTTCGAAAAGTTTTCGAGTAATGATAATTATTAATTGACAAATTAGATTGTTTATATGCAATAAACAAAGATAGATTTTGACGAGACAGAAAAAATAGTTATATTGAATAAACATAATTTAGAGAAAACAATTAAAGTCTGTCACTCAAATAAATGGTTAATCGCTAATCCTTTTAATCGCTGACAAGTTCATTTGCATTGATTGCGTTCTTAATTTGAGAGAAATAGAACTCGTAGACGGTATCAGATTATCGATAAAATTTGACTTATTTCCAGACTAACAGCTTTAAACTGCTATGTAAATACATTATCTTAGATACCAGGTTTTCCCCGAGTGTAGACAAGTCAAGTGAATATTTTTGTCGCGGCCGGTCTAATCGATTATCATTAATAAACTGGTTCGCACGCACCGACAAACGCCAAGTGGAATGAGATGACATGGAACACTGACCTGTTGACTCTGTTTTACGAATAGACTGCCCGAGACGTACGATAACCGATCGGTGTCGCCACCCGGTTATATTAGGAAGCGTGACCATTAATGACTTTCCGATATCGTTTGATAACACGTGGCAACCGTTGCATTTGTCGCGGCATTTGCATATCGGTTACAGTGGCGTGACGTGTACATCATCACTGGATTGCCTGGGGAATCGCTAACAAATTTCTAACAGACTAGAGAAATGTACTCACTTATAATTGAAATCAGATATAACTGTATTCCAAGTATCACACAAGTACCTATATATTATATTATTTTCATGTCTGATTGCGAGGCGATGTGTCCACACACTGATCGAAGTTTGATATCACGTAAATGGCAAAGCAGGAAACCATGGAAATAATTTTGCGTATAGTATATGTATTTTTCTGTGTGTACGTTTTAAGGAAATGTTATTTCATATTTATATTTGAAAAAAATTTATTTCATATTTTTCTGTCTCTCTCTCTCTCTCTCTCTCTCTCTCTCTCTCTCTCTCTCTCTCTCTCTCCGAAAGTTTATGAAACGTATTTATTCATAATAAGTTTATTATCACTTTGTTTTCCAATAAAATATGATCGAACCACATAAAATATTAATGTGTGATTTTAGAGAGAGAGAGAGAGAGAGGAAAAAGATTTTTTTAAAAAGCAGGAATTAAATGAAAACTTGAGAAAAGCATTCTGTACTTCGAAGAGGGAAATGACCGAAAAGGAATGACAGTCTAGTAAACTGATTTTTCGAATTACTTTGTCGTACTTTTTAAATTTCAGAATAATGACTATCGAGATATCATTTTGTCCAAATTTTTAAACACATTGTCGCATTCCAATCGATTAACTAATGTTAATAAGTAGGCCAATAATACTTCTTGTACATACAATCTGCGTCCCAAATCGAAGCGCGTCTGACATATCGATCTTTTTAATGCCACGTTAACGGTATCTCGTATCTTGCTGTTTGGACCGCTATCGCATTTACAGATAGAATTGTATTTTTATTCAAAAATACCTCGCAAAATGAGAAACATATTATTCACGTCAAGAAATTTACATTCATATGAAATGTAACTCAGAGATTTGTACTTAATCATTGCGAATTTATTATTTGCAAATCTGTAATAGCAAAAAGAGTGATCGTTAAATCTTTAACGTGTATTTATTTATTCTCCTCTTATGAACTGAAAAGTATTCCATTTTCTTATTAAATCAAACAACTTATTTTGCAATACTATATCATTTCACGTGTTTCCTGCAAAAAAAGTACTAGCATTCGAGATATAGGATATAATAATTAAGGAATAATAACTAAGATTAATAATTTATAAATAACTAAGTAGTTGCAAAAATCTAAGCTGATCTTAGGTGAGTCCTGTCCACAGCACAAAGATCGCGACAGCATCTAGAACGGATGTTCCATGTTCTTAAGAAGATCATTGCGATGCTATCAACTTTTTCTTTTTAACTTCGTCATTGTAAGGCGTCAATAATCAATAGAATTTCCTTAATTAATATTGACACACTTCCACATTATACCGTTTACTGACTTTATTTCAGTTCCACTTTCATCTTGCAACTTCTTTGCCATAACTTCGCTGAGATAATTCTCATCCAGCTTGACGACAACGATGGCTGAACGAAGAATGCCATAATGGCTTTCAATTGGGTCCAATCTATTATTTTTTATAAATACTTACAGAAATTATAGTTGTTCTCTTTCTCTTTAAGCGCTTTATCAAACTAATCAATCGGTCAATACGCCAATTGAAGGAAACAATCGCACGTGAAAACATTCTGAGCTTTGCCTCGAACGAAATAGTTTTCGATATAAACAAGTAAAATTTGATATATGAGTAGATTGTTGTGAAAATAACATACTTAAAATCGAATCTTATTCTGAGAAGAAAAAATTTTTTTTCGTGATGTTAATTAATATTTAATCGAGTCATATATTTTGCTCGAACGAAGTGTGTGCCTTATTTAGTAATGAACAAATAAAAAGAAACGTGAAGAAACGATGAGAAATTACAGAAGCATTCCACAACGACTGTAAAGGTTTTACGAGATTTCTACGCCACGTCGTGTAACCTGATTAGCATTCGCCCTTGGTCATTACCCTTAATAAAACTTGTATTGACTATACTCGTAATACTTGTAAAGAAACTTTTGTCACGGGAGGAACGAAAGAGGGTGAAGGATAAACAGATCATCAACCGCGATCGTGCGTATCGATTATTCCCTGTGAAGCGATATATCGACGTTTGTACAGATTTACAGACTATGCATGATAATTCTAAAAACATTTACAAAATAATTAAGATACGATTACGAAGATTAAGCAAAACGTAAAATTATAAGTCTATGCAACATATGAATTGTCATGTATAATAAAACTAAATGATATTAATTTACTGCCATGTAATTTGTGATTTAAGCAATATTTTAAAAAACACTAACAAGAAGTTTACTTACTTATATGTTTTTTTCTTTCTTTTTCTTTCTCTCTTTCTCTTGCTCTCTCTATTTGCAAAGTGGGGAAACATGATCCTGTAAATTCGATGAATTATCCGTCAATTTGCGAAGCCATAAATCGTTTATTGCGTCCCTGCGATCGACGATTGCACACGCGGCTTACATAAGTTCAAACCCTACTAACTCAGTTCAGGAAAGAGAGATTTCCATCCTTGTTCAGTTTGTACTATTGAAGAGTTTCGAGGTTATTTCTGTAACGAAGAACTACTTGCGCATTAATACTTTTGAAGAGCATTAATTGAGCCAAGTTTCCGAAACTCAACCAAATTCATGAAACTGTTCATAAACTTATTTCTTGGCCATTAATTTTTAATATCTAACAAAATTGTGCTGAGATCACATTATGTTAAGAAGACTTGTGGTCATTGTCAGTGATTACTCGCAATGTTAGTTATAATTTTCTTCGAATTTCACACCTCGATAGTATTTTATATATATGTATACATAATACTTTTTAATCAGAATAAATGAATAAATGCATTAGATTTTCCCAAATTTATCGCGAGTACTGAATAATTATATCTTAATATCCTTATGTAATTTAATGTACATTACAATGAATTTATGTACAATATTTAATTGATATCTTTGATATAATATTTAAAGAAATGAAGAAGAGCAAATAATTGCTCTTTGACTAATATTTCTAAACAAGTGAAGCGTGTACAATTACAGACTGAAGCATAGAATTCTTAGAACGTTCTAAATAAATTACATTATTAAAAGTTGTTGCAGTATCACGCAATGATAACATTTACAAACGATTATAATTCTGCACTTATCATAATATAGATTTCTCAAAATTACTCGTTTATGACATGCGTCAGATTCGCACTGTGACGTTTCTTGAGCCAAAGCGACAAATCGAAATCATCAAGCGCACTATAATGAGGAAGTATCTCCTTGATATTCAAATCAACTGAATCAGTAGTATGCAGAGCTTAAACTCAGAGTTCAAGAGCAGAACGACATTTTCTTCAGAATTTCTTCACGTTGTTCTATCAATTCTATTTTAATTGACACATATATTTAGATTAACATTACATAGAGTACCTCGATAATTCATATTGATAAAAAATATATATAGATAAGATATAATTAGAGAGAAAGAGAAGAAAATGGAAGAAAGAGAAAGAAAAGGGGAGAACAAACAAAGAAATTCGGTTTTTTCACAAAAAAGTTTTTTCAGATTAATTTCTTTGAAAATATTTTACAATATGTACCGCAAAAATTTCTCTTCAAACGTATCTTACAATATATATAAAGATCTCAAAAATACAGATTCAAAAAAATGTTTTGTCTCTTTGTATGTATACTTTTATATCCCTTTTCTTTTGAGCTACGAAACGACGCGTTGAATACATTTTTCTCGGATTTTCGTTCAAACCGGTGAAATGTTCTCGTGAGAGAAACGCTGGAACTTCCATACAACAGGGAGGGAGAGGACGTTTAAATACGAGCAGAAGCGCGCGCGCTACTTCAGTCCGACGCTAACAGTCCAAACAGATTGGTATCTGAATCTCGGAGGAAGGCAACAACCTCCCTTTACGATCTCCTTCTCTCTTTTATTTCCTCCGGAAAAGATCATTGAATAGATAACGGAAAAATCGTGAGAAGAACGAGAAAAACGTAGCGGCCACGAGAAGTTTCCGGTTGATATCCCGGAAACGGCCGTGGGTCTCTCGGCTGAAGTAAAAGCCGGGACGAAAGAAAAGGACACAAGACGGAAGAGTGTGTGGTTATGTGCTAGTGAGACTCAGGCAAAAAGACATACCCAAGACATAGAAAACACTAATCTAGTCACGATGACCAACAGCATGAAGCAAACGGTTATCAAGTGAGTTGCCGCAATAGTTATTTACTCAAAACAGCAATTATTGCCGATAGCAATAATGATCATTCGCCAGAGTGCTTCCCCGACCAATTTTTCTCGTTCTAAGTACAACTATCTGTACCCAAGCAGAATAACAAGTCACGGTAACGTCAAAATGACATTAAAATGACGTCAAAATATCAAAATGATTCCAAAATATCATTTTTGGATTTTGACATCATTTTGATATTATGACTTGTTGTTCTGCTTGGATAGTTTATAAATTAATTTGATGCAATTCTCATAATACAGCGATATGCAAAACTATTCTATAATGACTTTACAGTTAAAGAAATCAAATAAATACTATTTTCGAAATTAAATTATTCAAGAAAATAATGATAAAAAATTATTCTCATGAAAATATATTAATTCTTATTATTTGCTTCTGGCTTATACAATTTATGTTGACATATTAAAATGCAATTTATTGCAATTAATAATTAATGCAATTTATTATTTAAATTTCGGAAAGAATAATAAAGATATTGATACTATTATATGGACAACAGTTAAAAAAAAGTTACAAAACTTCCAGCCATTTTGCAAAACATACAAAGTTTTTACAATAATTAATTGTTGTTGCTTGTGTAATAGTAATATTTTGGTTCTTTTACTGAATATTGATCCGCGCGTTTAGAGCTCAAGTACATCTATAAATCTTTTGAAACACAATACACAATACACAATGTTTGTTTCTCAAAATGACACGCTAATAAATTTTTATTTTTTAAGCGATTAAAAATTTAAGGTTTTTCATAAATTACATTTTAAGACGCAAGCAAATAATAAAAATTTCCTTCCTGCTTGGTTTCCTTTATCTTTTTTTTACATAAACAACACACACACACACAACTTTCCACGGAGATATCTTTTTAACTTTTATCTATAAATAGAAAACTTTTATCCGTTTACATGGAAAAGACACGTGTTTGGCAGTTGTAAACTGCTGACGCGCTACCGCTATCAGAATAAATACTTTTTGTGTTTTTTCTTTGTGTATTAGCAAAGTTGTACCATGTACTACATACCCCTTATGCAATGTTGTTAAAAACTGGTCGTTTAGAACTCGATAAAATAAATCGGAATGCGGGAGAGTATTTCATAAGAGATGAAAGCGTCCATAAATCCGATAACGAATCGCGATTATCATGCGAATTATCGATTATTGATCTTTGGTTCAATGTATTCTTAAAGTTTCACCCTTCTGTAGTATAACATCTTAAATAAAGAATTATAAAGCAATTAAATCATGAGAAATATACCGATACTTTTATGCAAAATAGGTATCTTACGCTTGTAGACATTGACCTGCCACAATTTCGCATCAAATGTGATCTAATTCTGGTCTTATATTTTATCTGTCCATTATGTAAATTTCCATTCGATATAAAATGAATCATTAAATGTATACGGTGTGAATTTGTAATCTTATTGTTAAATTCTATTTAGTTTAGAAGATATTGTTATACAATACAAGTATTCTTTGATGTATCGTTTTCATATTGTTTTGATCATAATGATTACGTAAGACATTGTCTCGCAATTATGGCAAGCAAACTTTACTTTGTGTTAATAAGACTTAACGAGATCTATTGTAATCTGCGACATCTCGCACTTTGTTGTTATCTTGATTTATACATCAAAGAACCACTATCATATCGCGTTCATGTTTTATATTTTTTTTTTGTAGAATAGAAAATATTACAATTCTTACTTTTATAAATAATTAGAATCTATAAAATTAATTAAATTTAAGCACAATAGAACTTCTATTATACGAATATTCCGTATATCTAAATGTCAATTATCCAAACATCTGTTACTTAGAAAAAGAAAGTAAACATTCGAGTTGAGACTAATAGCTCAGAATAATTGGAAAAATGGAATGAACGATAAAAAAAGGTCATTTATTATATTATATATATTTATACCTGTAGAATAAATAAACTTAAAATTAAGCCATTATTATTCATAAAAATCGATTATCTAAATATCTTTTCTTTCTACTTAGATTCAGATAATAAAAGTTCTATTATATATTAACAGTTTTAATTATATATTAATAGTTTTTATATATTAACAGTTCTATTATATTAACAATTATATATTAACATATTATATATTAACAGAATAATATAATCATTTATTAAATTTTATAAAATAAATATTGTAATTAACATGAAAAAAAGCTGTTATTGCCAAACCAAGGCAATTACTCAAGAATTATGAAAATATTTTGACCAATCTAATCAGTTTCATAAATAGTAAATTCCTAAATTATAATATAATTATTATAACAAATGTGCAGTTAATAACTATTTTTATTTAGCCACATTTCTTCTTATTAAACAAATGTATAGTAAGCTGACATCCATGTATCGGAGCATTATAATGTTTATCGGCTACCGTGACAAATCACAGTATCGACACGAGCAAGTCTATTAAAGCTGTGGTTCAGATATGCAAATGAAAGAACATGACATTTTAGCGCAACGAGAAATCTCGCGATTTCAATGCACGCAGGGACAGCCAGTGATAAAACGTACCAGGCGTTGATGTTACGCCGAGAACCGGCCATTGCGTCGCATAGAGACAAAAAAGAGCAATCAAATTATTTAAAAAAAAATCCTTCCTTACAGAAAAAAGTATTAGCCTTAGCAAACTTCGTTTACGTTAATAAATATTCATATAATTATGTGTCACATCATTTCTCGACAAGCTTGACCTTGCGTTTGCAAACGTAAAGAATATATCATAATAAAAGTCAGCAAAATACATTCCCCCTTGATAACTTGTCTCATATGGAAAAAAACCGCTTGTCGTACAAGGGCACGGAAATTCGTCTTGACTCATAAAATTAAAATCGCGTAACATATTGCGGCTGTTATTTGCGAATACAAAAAGATTTTTTATAGTTCGCGCACTGTTGCAATTTAAAATTTGCAAGACATATTTCGGAGACATATTTTAAACGTACAAGGACATTTAGGCTCGAACACTATGACGATACTGTCATTATTGCATATAATTGCATCTGATAACAAAAGTGTCGTTAAAAATATATTACTTTGTGGCGTTTCCACGAAAGATATTTATTTTTTTACAACACCGTTGTTTTCAAATGCAATTATATAAAATACTACAATTATATATAATAATAATATTGCAATTGTATATGGTAATGACAGTATTGCTATGATGTTTAAGTCCAAGCAATAATTAGACGTCTAAACTGTGTCTAGAAAAGTCCCCTTTATGTATGTTGGACAAACGTCCAAAATACATGGACGTTATTTGGACTTTTTATTCTAATGTTATTTACACAGACATTTAAGGATGTCCCAGCTATGTCGTCAATATGTCCAATTTTAAAGTAGTGCGCGACATTGTTACTAGAGAAGTACACCGAAGTTCAATTACTTGTATTTGAAAAACCACATCGAGTAGGATAAAAAGTGCAGTATGATTTCTCACGAAAAATAAAAAAATTTTTTTTATAAAATGATGAGCTGTATCCTCATAATTGAGCATTAAGATAAAAATTAAAATTTTTTTTATAGTTCTCATCGGACAACGAATGTTCAGTGTTTTCCTCTTTTTCCCAAAAATTTATATATGTGTATAAGAAAAGAAGAATATTTTCAGAATTAATTCTCTATGCCATTGGGGATTGGACGTCCATACGACGTTGATTGTTGGATAGAAGGTAATGTTTGTTGCAGTTTGGAGCGTTGCTTAGGGGCTTTCAACTTTACAGTATGCCTTTATAAAGTTTATATAACAATTTGAATTAACTGCTCAGAATCAATCAGAACTGTATGTATAGTAGTAATATATTACTATATTATATATGTAATAATTTATAATCGTTTAAAAAATTTTAAAAATTACACTACGGCTTATACATGTAATTATATATAATGAAAATTGTGTAATTATATATTATTATACAATTACAAATGAGAAACATTGCATGTATGTTTATACTTTATAGTCTTATATTTAAAAGAATATTAAAATTTGGAAATATCTTTAAAAATGAACGCAAGATATAATCGTGATACGAATGGCTTTCCCATTGAATAGAAATTTTTTGTGTATAGAAATAATTTAATAGAGAGAGAGAAACGACGTTTGATACTGTCATGACAGTAAAAATACATAGTAGCAAAATAAAACGAAATAAACTCATGAGTTTATAAGTATGATTGGTTTGTACGAGGTGAAAGTCTCTTGCGAGGTACGTTGAACATTGGAAGCGTTTACGACTCATGGTGCAAGTTTACAAACGCTTGTATCGAGTTATTACGTTGTTACGACAGCCACGCCGTCGCGATGCAATATGTATGTAAAATTTGAGCGATCCCATTTAACTTCCTTGTTGGATAAACCAACCTACGGATAAATCGATTTCACGAAAGTGTAAACTTAGCAATGTATTTTGCGGGCGACACATAATTATATGAATATTTTGTGCACAATACACTTAAATGCAGGCATAAAATTGCAGGCATAAAATATAATATTATGCCTGCAATTGTAGATAATATATTTAAAATTTTTTAAATAAGTGATATCTATCTGCCATTATAAACAACTTATAGCAAAATATTATGTTAAAGAGATGATAAAGTTATAAAAGTATAGTATTTTGTTATCTCACACGTACACAAATTGTTATCTCGATGCATGCGCTTATCACTGTTATGGAATATTTATACGAGATAGTAAATATAAAAAAAGAATATATGCATATTAGAAATCATCGGAGTAATGTCATAAATTCTCGGAGGCTTTTTATTTACTTTTTTGAACGTAATCACCGTAATGATAACTGGATATATTGTTATATTATCCTACATGCAATTATTAATATTATTATATATAATATATAATATTTACATTTATATATTTATCTCGAAAATTTCAACGAAAGTTTCGATACAAAGAATTTGAAGTTT